TGAATCAGGCATTGTGCATCATGGTTCTACAAAGGCCACAGAAATACCCTCAGTGCCTTTAAATTGGCTATCTTCAATTTATTCAGCTGAATGGCTTGCTTTGTCACTCACTTCTCCCTCCATCTTCCCCACAACACCATTAGATGTTTCATGTGGAAACACTGAATAATCCCTCTCATGCCCCAGTATGTGCCACTGATGTATGCACAGCCTTTCATCTAAGAGAAGAAAAAAAATCCTATGGAAATCTGATCTTGGCAACAAATGACTTCTAGGCAGTGAAAAGATGACAGACAGCTTTTGCAGCTATGAAAGTCACTGTTCCTATCAGACTTTAACTATGAGCCATTAAATTGAAGGTTCTGCTGCTATCTGAGCAAAAATATCCATAGGAGAAAGCAGCAATTTGGAGCCCTGTGACAATCAAAGCAAGGCAACCACTAATGGGCTCTCCCTATTCACACTTTACTACACAAGAAAAAATACAGTGCTCTGCCATTCTTTGGTTTGAAAGGTGGGGGGAAGAGAGAAATTAAGTTCATTTAAGGTTAGTCTACGTGAAGATCAAAATATTTTGCCCGTAGAATCTTATCAGACCAAAAGAAATGACCTATTCCTACAGAACCTGTTCCTAAAGAGGACTGGGCAATATTCCTCATATACTCTGATCTCCAGAGATTAGGAGCAGGCAAGCAAACACTTGAAAAATCACAAGCAAGACCATCAGGTTTTGAGAATGCATGCATAAAATGGTATAAAAAGATTTTTGAATGAGTAGAATTCCAGCTATTTCACAGACTGACAATTCTCTCATGAAAATATCCACTTATATTTTATAAGCATTTGACAAATTCTTATATAACACATGTAGCAATACAGGGGGAAAAGTATGCTACTAACTGAAACAATCAGGGATTAAAGGAATAGTAGGCACTTGTTCAAAAGACAACACAGAGGAATGTCTACTGCATTCAGTTGGAAGTAACATCCAAACCAGTTTTTGCAATGTACAAATCTGCTCTTTTCACCAGGATTAAGTAAATCAGAACTCTCTAGGTCAACTCATTATTTCCCTAGCTTCACACAAATGCAACACAATTAGACTTCTCATTTCAGAAAACAGGTCTCTCAAAGCAGGTAAGAAAAACCTAGGTCTGATTCTGTTGATGAGTAGCTAATGACAAATTATTACATAGGATACAAGGAGTAACAGAACTAGTAATCAGATTTGGCATTGCTGGATAAAATCCCTGGCATCACAATAGTCTCTTAAACCAGCAGAATATCAAAACTGGAGTATTAAAGCTATCCTGGGAAGAAATGAAAAATGCCACCAGTATTTCACCACATATATAATGGAAAATACAGCAGGACTGAGAGGAAAAAAAAAAAAAAAAGGCTGGAGAACCTACAGTTCTGAATTTGACAGTGACTATCCTCAGAAAGCTCTCTCCAGCTAAGCTTCATGGGAGGGTGTCTCAGCATCAGTTCACAGGTACCTGATGCTCACTTATCACTAGAGCTGACAGTTGGAAAAAACTACTACAAAAGCTACAGTCTTAATCTGATCAAGACAAATAAGTAGCCAAACCACAGACACCTTGAGCCCACAATTTGCATTATTAATTTCCATTATTGTGTTTCTTATCTTGCTCATCTACTTGGTTTTCCCTCTTTCTTCAGATGGCAACTGTTTACGCATGGTACAACTGGGAGTCGTACATCAGCTTCTGGATCTTTTGGAGAAACACGTACAGAGTGGGGACACCTCTGTTCAACATGCTGCACTCAGTGCACTCCAAAACCTTGCTATACCAGGTACAGTATTTAAAGACAATTGACTTACTGTGATTCTTTATAAAGATGGGTCATTTAATGGAGATCTGTGCAGCTCTGTCCAAGTCACCAATTCCAGTCCCTTGTATTTTGAAGGGCAACTGAACTTGCCCCCTCTTTGCAGAAACATATATTTGAATAATTCATCAGGACTTCCTCATCCATATAAAGAGTCTAAATATAATAAAGTGTGATCTCATTGCCAGCTGCTGAAATGGTTTCATATGAACAGCATATAGCAGCTCAAGACAAAAATACAGAGCAGTGTTTATAGCTAAAATACATAGTATGGGATAGAGCTCACATCATAGCTGGTAGGGATTTCATAAATCTGCTCTTCTTCTATAAAGCCAATATTCATTATAAATTCAGCCTTTTAACACAAAAAAAATAAAATACTTAAGGGAGATGTGTAAGAGAGATGGGGGACAGACCTCTGAATAGGCCATGTTGCCATAGGACAATGGGTAATGGTTTTGAACTAAAAGAGGGCAAATTTCGACTAGATAAGGAAGAAATGTTTTACAATGAGGGTGGCAAAACACTGGAACAGCTTGCCAGAGAGGCAGTAGATGCCCCATCCCTGAAAACATTCAGGGTCAGGCTGGATGGGGCTCTGAGCAATCTGATTTAGTTGAAGATGTCCCTGCAGGTTGCACAGGGTTCGGAGTAGATGATCTTTGAAGGTCTTTTCCAACCCAAACTATTTTGTGATTCCATTCCTGTGGTCTTTTAATATGTATCAGAAAATTATGCTGCTTCACATCTGAAATCTACTGTTTCCATGTGAAAGTGCCCTTCAGGCCAAAAATGTTTTGCTACAGACTTAACAGTACAGCACCCACAGTGCAGTCCTCACATTGCTATACAGTACCCCAGAGCATAGCACCAGTGCTATTTTCTGAAAATAAAGGAACTTGAAGTTGTTTGCCTATTTTATTATGTAAGCTGGCCAGCATGCTTGGTTTAACATTTTTATACATAATCATTACTTCAAACACATAAGAGCTCCAGAATGTATTAGGGGCTGCTTTGCATCCAGCACTACATTTTTATTTTTTTCTTACAGACAGCTCACTTCAAAACTCCATTTATTTCCTTCAACTTAATTTTACTATATTCTGAAATAATTTATTTGCTTTGGCTTATACTATTATCACACTAGCCAGCCATGTCCCTCTATTCAAGATTTTAATAAACATATTTTACACCTTAAGCCCCTCACTGATTCTATGTGTATTTCTTTCTCTGTGAAGAGATGTTCTACCAGCATTCACACCAGCAGGTAGAGGCCTGTGCAGGCTGCTTTTTGGTGTTAAAAAAGTATGCAGTACTGTGAAGATTAACATCAGCAACCTTACAGCAGTCACAGTCTAATACAGAGCTATGAGATGATAATCACAGAGCAATCCAGCAGAAATTAGAAGAGTGATTTAGTAGGCAATTTGTGACTGTCATTATTAAAATGAAAAAGGGGAATTTTTTTCCAAGCCTAGGGGTGTTCCATGCTTAGTTCTCACTGACTTCATTCCTGCCATATGTAGAATAGAATTTAACTATTACAAGCAGCAAAGACACCAATTCATCTCATTTGAAGGAGAGAAATTTTGATGTAGTTTCCCTCTACAATAAACAGAGATTAGCACATTCTAGCTCACAATAGAACCCATTCCTCAACAAACACCAAAGGCTGACTTTTTTGTGGTGCCAAGCCCAGGAATTCCTCGGGAGTTCCATAACCAAGCAATGAACACAGCTGATCTTGCAAAGATTATGGTATCTAAAACTTCAGAAAAATGTAGTTGCAACCTACAACTTTACTGCTGTTATCACTGCCTGCTACATACAGAACCAGTAAATCTTAATGTTCTTTGAAGATCTGATTTAAAAAGCTCAACTCTGAATTATAAAATATCAGTGTATCAATACAGAGTCTATTTTGGTTATCTGTTCTGTTCAAGTCTATGACAAACCACTTTAGATCTTTCTAAGTGTGTGGGGAATGCACAGCACTTAAAATGTCATCCCTACACCATACTTTTCCTCATCAATTCATAAAACCCATGTATTTTTATCTGTAATGTCTGTAAGACATTCCCTCTTAGTAATACATCACTTCTAGAAACACACACACTCTTATCACTTTCAACAATATAGTCTGCTGTATGGAAAAAAAAGTTACTTAATAAGGTCTGCCTCTCAGCTTATCCAATAAAAGAATGAAGGGATGTAACAGTCAATTCCCTAATTTCATTGTCCTGTCTTCCTCATCACCCTCCCAAAAATGCATGCAGAAGATGGGAAGAAAATTGCTCTGGTGAAAGCAGCTTTTGGTAACACAGTTAAGCAGTATTAGGACTCCTTCCAGACAAGCTTCTGATTATCACCAGGGATTACTGCACTAACCACTGGAGCAGACACAAAAATAGGGATAGGAAAGCACAGAAAGAAAGTCATGAACAACAGAGGATTAGTGAGCTCAAATACAAAAAGAAAATCCATTCTCTAGAAATATGGCTGTGTAAATCACTTCTGTCACCCAGTTCAGACCGATGAGCAAGCACCGAAAAGGCTTTCTCATTTGAAGGGATGGATAATCTATTATAACAAGAAAAAGCAGAGAAACAACAATGCTGTGTTTATCTGCTTTTATGTACTTTCTTTCTGGGCAGGGCTGAGATCAAAAGTAACCAAAATACCCTAGAAAGCTTTTTGCTCAGAGGAGAAGTCTAGTAGGAGTCAGGCAGTCCTGACTTCACTTCTCTAACAAGTTGGACCTTTTACTAGAAGCATAATAGCATAAGATTCATAACAGTTATGTCATAGGTACATTTTCAGATGCTTGTGTAGTTACTGAGCTTTGCATCAACATCTCTTTTCCATTTTCTAGTTGTTAGCAAGGTTCAAATGCTGGAGGAAGGTGTCACAGAACGGATTGAGACACTTCTAAGGTCAGAGAGTCCTCCTGTGCACGTCAAACTTCTTGGAACATTACGGATGTTAGCAGATGGTCAAGGTAGGGAATTGTTAATGTTTACTGAGATGAACCATTACACTCTCCTCCCCCCCCAGCCCTGCAAGACAACAGATGCGAAGACTACAGGCTATGCGTCCTGCTAACCTAGTTCCACTCAATCTGGTGATGTTCCAACAGAGATGACTGTCAGAGGCTGCTAGCTTTCCAGACAGACCCAGTCAGCCTCAGAGGTAGAGGAGAAACAAACCAAATTGAAGAATCTCCAGTAGTCAGTGAGAACTGGCAAAGGCCTAAAAGGAAGGTATCTTCCACCAGAAATATACCAGCAAGGCATGAGTATGATGGAAAAGACTCAAGCTAAGGCTTTACAGTGCCAAATCACAGGACACCAAATCAATAAAGAACTGGAGAATAGAAGAGGACTAAAGAAAGCTGGGGTGGAAAGAAGTTTCTACTACTCATACAGTCTTTTGATATATATGTTACCAGGTTTATCTTGCTGATGTGGCTCAAATGTTGAATTTACTTTGCATGTTGAAATATTGGATTATCTGCTTGCACTTCAATCAGTTTTAGAGAGAGGTGGGCATGCAAAGGCAACAAAACTCATTCTGTGCACATCATTGCATTTGGAGAAATATGCACAATGTCAGGATTACATTAAGATCTACTACAACACCTTAATTTATCCATAGGCTTACTTAGCTTCTTACTAGAGTATAACACAAAAATAAGTGTTGTAGGATTTGGTATTGTCTTTCACATTACTAGAGCAGCTGCTCTAGAATGCTGACCAGTACAGATCCCTTGATATGCAGGAATAATAAGAGCTAGGTCAAAATCAGAAGAGTTATGACCATTTTGTGATGGGAACTGACAACTGATACAGAACAATTAGACATCAATTTATGAGTTATATGGTATAGGAGAAAAACCCTTACCTTCCTACATTCCATGCTGCAATCAACTGTACCACTGCAGACACCACTTTGATATGACAGCTACTTGCATCCTTTATCATATTAATATGCAAGATACAAAATTTAGATCTAGCCCTCATATTAATTTGCACTGATTCCAGTCAACTTGAAAGCTGCTTTCACTTATACTTCAACTATGGCAGGAAATGGACATTGCAAGACATATAGAAACTTAGCAACTTCTTCCTCTCAGGCTCTGAAGAAGTCATCACGAAGCAATTTCTCCAAAGTTATATCTGCTGAAAGGGGCAGCATTTAGCTTTTCTTAACTGAGACACCATAATAACACAGATCTAAATTATCAAACACTAAATTATCTTTTTTTTAATTCTATTTACAAGCCCCAGTACAAAGCTGGAATTTGACATGAGGTACAACTTTGAATCTGAAACAATGCAGTTATCAAAGGGTAAAGTAGAAAAAAGATGCAGGAGATGATTCAACGTTTGGCCATTCCTGTCTATGAGCACACAATTCCCCCACCTTTAATTACTTTCTATTCTGTTTACCCATGAGCTAACATTACCCTTAATTAACTCAGCCTGAAACTCTTATGAATACACATCCATTAAGAAGTCCACACTAAATTAGTTAATTGCCTTATCTAGTATAAATTCATTATGCTGACTATCAGAGGGCATGCTGAGGCCTGCAGACTAGAAGAGGTAGGTTTCTTCCTAACCACAGAAAACTGCAGGCAGATCTGTCAGCTTCATTACTCTGAAGAGATGTTAAGTCCTAGTTCTCCCACTGTTTTGCTTCAGAGGAGCAGAATAATTTGTGCACTTCAATAGCCAAAGGACTTTCAGCTGTGCTGAAAGTTCAATCATACACACAATTTATTCAAATTCAGTGTTTTGCGTGTTAAAAGGTCTTCCTGTTAATGACTAATTGGGTTTTATCTTAAAGAGCTCTATTGCTGGTAGACATCAGCAAGTCCCTATCAAACTGGGTCAAGAATCTGCCTTTGAACAAACCACTTAAGACTGGTTTCATTCTCCACGCTCTTGCCTTTTTCATCTTTCTGTACTAAACTGGTTTATCATGGTCTCCTCAGACTAACAAGTAACATCTGACCTAGAAACAAAAATGTTGTGTTACATGAGATAACAAGTAACTCTTACCTCAAAACAAACTATGTCAGCTAGGCTGAAAGCTCCCAGATTCCTAGTGGGACTTTGATCTGAGGATTGTTCCTTAGTGCACTAGAAAATAAAAAAAGGGACTGCCCACACTTCCCCATCTCCCTCCCTAAAACAGAGAGAATATAGGTTGACTTACAGCTTCTGCAAGATATCCAGAGTAATCACGTGGTTTATTGACACTGACCTTCTGGTGCACACTCTATTTGATCCTTTCTAGAATATCCCAAAACAAGTGCAACACGCAGAGAAAGGGACAGGTAAAGAAATAGGAGCAGGGTGATGTTCTTACAGCCAAACCTATCCCTTCTGTTACGGATGTTAATGTTGGTTATTCCTCAAGTCTTTGCATCAGCTAAACTTCCCACTATCTTAAAACAATACAAACTTTTCCAATTTTTCCCCTTCTGAATTCACATCCAAAGGACCAGGAATCTCCCTTACTACCTTCTTTCAGGCCTGAAACTTTTTTAAGGCTAGAAAGCCAGAAGAAGATTGGAAAAGGCTCACAGACCATTTATGGACCTTCTTACGGAATGTACACTTCCAGTTAAGAGCTTTACCACATCTTTTGCTCACAGTACACAATGCACATTTCATGCTCACCTGCTCATTAAGAGCTTTACCACATCTTTTGTTCACAGTATACAATGCACATTTCATGCTCACCTGCTCTGGTCTCTAGCATCAAGGTGTGTGAGGCTGGCATGGGACAGGACTCAATCAAAATGAAGACAAAAAGAAAAACCTTTAATTACAGATAACTACATGAGACTCCTGAGCTTGAATTATATCTTATCATCAATGTATTTTTGCAAATAGAATAATTCTACACCAAAAGTGAGTGCCTGCCCTGTGACTACTCTTGCCTCTCAGCTGGTACATCTGGTGCCCAGCTGAAAGTGCTGCATGTTCATATCCTCAGTTCCTGATCAACTGGAACACAGAGAAACAGCAGTTTGGCAGTTTACAAAACAGTTCTTTTGTGCCTAAAGAGAAATGAGTGAACATTCAATTCCTACAAAAAGGCAGCTTAAGTTATGCACATTATTAGTTTTTCTTTCTCCTAGTACCCTTCACTTAGAATAGAACTCCAGCTGAACCATGATATAGAATTTCAAAGTCATAAGTATTGAACAGAAACAACTAACTGAAATTATTAAAACAGTATTAAAACAGTATTTACCATAATGTTCTCAGGGTTGAACCCCTACTTAATAAATTTGGTTAAAATAGAATAGTTCACAGCCTTCAACACCCTTATATCTGCATTTTTCCTTTGCTTAGGAAATAACTTTCCACCATTTAGTCACTTTTGATCCACAGCACTTTAAGGATGCACTGTAAAACTGCAGTAAGACTCACATGGAAGCATGTGCCAGACAAATACAATATTGAGAGAGAATGAGTAAAATTCCTTTTGCTGCTGAACTCCTAAGACCTTTGAGAGTAGACTCCCTTACTGGCAACAAGCTTTAAACCCCAGCACATCAGAGTTCCACTTCTTAGGAAAAGTTACCTAGGGAGATTTCTTCAAATGTCAACTACACAGGCTAATACTTTAGCAAGTCTTGAGGTAGGGCTCTTGAAACAGAGGGGATTGCAAATTAAAAAGCTCTTCTACACTAAGGGGAGAGTTATGATGATGCCTTATGCACAGTTCAACACATATTCTTAAGATTCAGGTCATCCAATTACCACCATGCTGCAATTCAGTAATAAAATTTGGCTTCCTGCGTTATCAACAGTAATTATCACAAGAGCAAGAACAGGCTCTGAAGAGCCCATGATTACATTTGTGCAGGGTTCAAAGTGTTAGTGCAAGAATCCAAATGGCAAAGAGACAGTCCTCATAAATAGATATTTCAGTATAGGAACAGAATATTTGCTTTCAAAGATACATAGCTGCTCATTTTAAGCCCTGCTTCAGCAGCCTCTTTAAAGGGATAGGTCTACTGGAACAGCTTATTTTGTTCTTCACCTCCAAGATTCCTTTGGTACAGATTTCCAGCATCCTTTGAAAGCCCAGTGCTTTAATAAATTCACCTCCAAGATTCCTTTGGTATAGATTTTCCAGGATCCTTTGAAAGCCCAGTGCTTTAATAAGAGCTCTTAAAGGATGTTGAACCTACACCTGCAGCCCTAGTTACTTCTGCATTCACATTTCTGTGACAGAAAGACTGAGAAGTCTGATTCTGAATGCCTTTTGATGATGCTTTTCTTTTCAGCAGATGCAGCTGAAATATTGGGCCAAGACCCCATGCTGCTCCACAGACTCGTGCAGTGGTGCAATGCGAATGACCACGCTGGAATCCAGGGAGAAGCACATCGGCTGCTAGCATCAATCTTGCATCACAACAGATCCCAAGTAGGAGAACTATTGTTCTGACACCTTTCTACTATACCCTTCTCAAATCTGTCTAAAGCTTGTTGTTATAGCTAAGAATTAAGTGTTAAACAGCACAAAGAGCTTTACAATTAAAAACATGAAAGCTCACAATAAAAACCCCTCTGGTCTGCCTTGCTGCCAGTAAAGGGGAGGTGAGCTGGAAACCTGTGCACTCCATAGCCACAGATACCTCAAAGAAACAAGCAACATGGTTACTTACTGTCATTTGTCAGCTTTAACCCTGCTTGAGTAAGGCTTGACAAATGGTAACTAGGTAAAGCTTTTCTACTGCTATAAATACGTTTCAAATTTCAAACAAAAATGGCAAAGATGACCCAGACCTGTCCTAAATGTCAGTCCTCCAGAAGCTCCAAAGAGCTCCATCCACCTAGTGATTGATGAATGTGGCATGCTGAGTATCTGCTGGCACTTTAGAACAGGCTTCAGTTTCTCATAAATCATGCAAGTACACACAGGCTGCCCAACCACACTTCTCTGAGGCAGTGGTTAAAAAGGAACTATTGGCTCAGGCTTTGATAAAGTAAAACTAATTCTTCCTAGTTTGATGAAAAAGTGGAATAAGGACAAACTAAGCCTCAAGACAAAATACATAATTATCTTGCAGATACACATTCATACTTAATTCTAAGTATTGACATTCCACGTAAATTAGACCAGCCCTAAGCAGACATGTATGATCAGTGCCAAAACCAATGTTATCTCTAGCCTTCAAATATTGTCAGTTTGCACTGCAGCAGGCAAACAATTTTCATCTATTCAGAAACTGAAGAGCACAATCTCATTTTGCTTTTCATTCTACTTTATTCATAAGTCAGATTTCCATCTGGTTTACCTTTGCTTTAACAGGAAGTGGTCAAAGCCATCCAGGAGGCACAAGGAGTGAAGCATCTGGTTTCCATGACAAAAAGTGAACACGCTGCCATGCAGAATGAGGCTCTGAATGCCTTGGCAATTGCATCTGCAATCGATTTAGGTATTTTTCTCCTAAAGCATTTATCCATGCAAGAGCCTCAATTATGGTTATGCTGTTAATTCTACGTAACGTGTATGAAAAAGTATGTTTCTTGTCTAGATTTAGCTCTTCAGCATGAAATAAAGCTTGCCAGCCATCCAGATGACAAAAGCAATAAGCTTTGGGAAGTGACTGAAGATTTTTTTTGTTTAGGATAGAGTCAAATTATCAGGCTATGTGGACAGGCACAGTCTGTTGAGTAGCATGGTATGATGCTAGAAACCTACACCAAAAAAATGAAAACTGAGGGCAAGTAAAGGTGATGAATAAAAAAGACAAGAAAGTCTAAATGAAGGACAAATATTAGACCTGAATGGTTAACAATGACAATAAATTGAGGAAATGGTCTTCAGAAGACAGACTTGAAGAGATAATAAAACAGAAACATAAAAAAGGCATTGTAGACGCTACAAATGAAGTGACAAAATTGTAAAGGTTCTAACTACTTTTCCTGAGTTAATTTTCAAAGTTACACACAAATTTTTTCCAGATTTTCCTGTATGACTTGAAAATGTGTCTCAATTTATTATAGTAAAGACAGACACTACAGAAATCTAAATACATCACAAAAGGTAAATGAAAAGAAAAAGTCAACTTGCCATTTGGAATTTCCTATACCAATAAGTAAGACTGTAAAGAGCACAATTTACTGCTTGTCCACCACTGAGATTCTCAAACTCAATTGGGCAACTAACGTGAATCAACATTTCTAGCAATGATTCTGTTCTGAGGTTGTTTTATACAGTCTACAGTATACTGGTTCTGCCTTCAGGAATGAGGTCAGCAAATAAATACTGTACAGAAAATAAGATAGATTCTCCACTACAGCAGACAGATGCCCAAGACATCACTGTACAGCCAATTTGAAATCAAGTCAGCCAGGAATTGAGTTTTTAAAAAACAAGCATGTTCACTTTCTAGTTTCTTTTCAGACAACAGCTCAGATATTTGTTTACTTATTTTTCAGAAATTCTTGAAGAATCTTTTAAGGAATCACAACTAGTTCAAAGCTTACACAAACTTCTACAAAATGATAATACAAGTCCTGAGGTGAAATACAATTCAATGGGTCTTTTGTGCAGCCTTATTAATTCAGGTAACTTTATTTTAAATTGTCTGTGATCAAAGAATGGATATTTGTGATGAAGACAAGTGCTTTCTGTTACCACAATGTGCTGCTTGCAGTGCTCCAGTGAATGAGTAAAGGATATTGAAGAGGTTCATTCTTTACTGATCACCAAAAATCCTAGCCAAGTAGCTTCTTCCATTATGAAAAGTTGATTAAACCATGAGCTGGGTAAAAAAAAAAATTATTAAAAAATAAAAGCAGGCTGTATTCCAATGGCAAAAAAAAGTCCTGAAAATAGAAAAATTAGAGCCTTGGAATAAAGACATCTCTGTCTAACTTCACCATGCACAAATGCCTGGCAGTGTCCTGGTCCTGTGTGCACCACAGCATCTTTGTGTCCAAAGAAATAGTCTCCATCATCTTCCACAGGCAGACAGACGTTTGCTCTGCCTACGCTTTAAGCAAACCAGAAGCTGAGATGAAACAGCAGTTTTAGCAATGCTGTAACCTTTGCACAGTAACTTCAAGTAAAGCACATGAAGTACATGATTTCAGTTTCACTCTGTGGTTAAGGAAGACTTGTAATGCTTTGAGCAAAATCAGACTATCCTGGGTATATGGCACTACATAAAAACTACCACCTTCAAACCAGGAGTCCAAAGATCTTGTGGCAGTTTCTAACATTTTAATGTAAATATCATGTAAATTGAAAATAATGATTGTGCTCAGGCAAGGACTAACCACAAGGTGAGCTGCCTTTCAAATCCTGAAGCCACCCTATATTGACAGACAAGCTGGATTTTGCAGTGTATTCTATTTTTTTCCCTATAGACACACAGATATTGGAATAGGGATAAAGCACTTGCATCCTTCAGTGCTACTATGGAGTACTGACATAACAGTGTGATCTATAAGACTTTTTTCCAGAGCTGTATATACCCAGCATTTTATAGACTAACTGAAACACTAAGAGTTGAGTCTTAGCAAGATGAAATGCTAACAAAAAGCATACAGGAAAAAAAATGCAGGAAATTGTCCTGTATTAAAATTTCAAAGTGCTTTTCTTCTGTCAATCAATTCTTTGAAGTCAAACAGGAGAAAAACGATCTTAACCCATTCAATACTTTCAGTGGCTGAAAGGGTATCTATTGAAAACAAATTTTATTTGAATTAAAGCAGCACATTCTAAACCGCAAGTACTTCTAACTTTTATCTTTCAACAATTGTTGGGAGCCACTATGCCATGGCATATCACTAAAAGTCAGCATTTCATCTCCCATTCAGGTAATCTGAGACAAGAAATAGAAGAGGACAAGATTAAAGAAACGCTCGAACAACTCTGCTGTCACAGCAATGCAAATGTGGTCAAGGAAGCTGTCACAACATTACGGATTTTGAGAGGAGAGACACTCGAGTAGCCCTCCCTTGTTCCACATGGCAACCCAGCACTGCTGCTGAGGCAAACACAGAACACCAGCTTGGCAACCCTACATTGCATTTGTCATGCTGCTACATGACCAAAAGTACTAAAGCCCAGGTACAGATCCAGCTTTCAAAGCTGTACATACAAAAAAACACACACACACCCCCCCAAAAAAAAAAGAAAACCAAAAAAACCCCAACCCAAACCGAAAAAACCAACCTCATTTGCTTATTGCTGCTGCTCTTCACCAAGCTGCTAACACATAGCAGTAGGAACAAGGCCTGGCAAGCAAATGGTCTCAGAAAACATCACGTAAGAAGTATCAGGCAATTGCCACTTCTGCTATATAATTTTAAGATGCTTGTTTTTTTCAAATTAGAATACACACTTGCAATTTTTCTCGTATCAATAGGACTTTAAAACAATTATCAAAAAAATCTCCAGCTTATATCATGTAACCCAAAACACAGGTTATATTAGAGCTGTAGCTTAAATGATGCAAAGGGCTAACTGGCACCAATTCAACCCTCTGTACCTTGTGAATCATGCTGTGAGCCCAGATTTTAAGTGAGCGTGTTAAAATCATCTTCCCCTTCAATTTCCAATTTTAAAACTCATCTCTAAAATTTTACCTGCAAGTGTCACAAGCTATACTCCTAAATACCTGAGGTTACCACCTTGTCCTAATTTCAGAGTTGCAGCTATTGGAACCTGGAATGAGACTCAGCAGAAGTTTACAAGAAACTGCAGTCAATGAACATACAGTGCTTGGATAAGACACAAAATGAAAGCTTGTTAGAAATTAGAAGTGGGCATGGCTGAAGGTTTGGAGGCAGCCACTAAGAGAATCTGTGTTTAACTCTAGATAGTGAAAAACTGTAGTAAAACATGTGTCTCTGAACATTTCTATGGTAACCTTTCAGAAGGTCACCAGATAAAAAGGAAACAGATTCTATTCCACAACTTGTTCTTATGGGAACATTTTGAAGTAGTTGAAAGTATGTTGCAGAGTCACATTGTCAAGACCTAAGAGATAAAATTAAAAACCCTGTAGTGGTAGGGAATGAAAAGCTAGAGAACAATGTCCTTTTTTTATAGCAGCAGAGAAGTTATTGAGAAAAAAATAAACAAGTACTGATCTTCAGAAAACTGTTACAAAGCAGGGTATATTTAGAAGTCAACAAGGCTGTCTCAAACAATTTGAGTACACTGACTTATGTCTGCAAACAAACATCACAACTTTGTTCCTGCAAAAGCTTTCCCACTTGCAAAACTTAGTAACACTACCTAACCCACTACACTCATCACAAACATCACCCTCAGGAGTACTCTTGAGAAAGGGAATTTCATAAAACCAACCCACACAAGTCAGGTTTTGACCACATAGTAGGAGAAAACCCAGCAGCTTTAAATTTTTGGATGTTCATAGACTTAACAGTTTCTCTACAGCGTTCTGCAGCTCTTCACTTGTTCATGGCTTCCCATTAACAATGGAGAGAAAAGCATCAGTATAACTCAACAGCCCAGACTGAAAGAAAAATATATTAAGAATTAGTTTCAGCAAAATGAACAAACCAACACCAGTGGATCTTTACCTTTTCTATAGTTATCCACAAATTGCAGTCTTGGTAATCAGTCTAAACCTTAGAGAGTGAAATACTAGTGACCGGAAGCAAAAAAACTTCAACATCAAACTCCAGGATTAAAAAACATTATATTTTATTTAATCAAACTTAAGGCTTGAGAAAAAAATATACTGAAAGCCACTCAGAAAAGCCATCTCAGGAGACAGAACCTCCCCTTCCACTGCCTGAACAACGTTCGAGCTGCATGACAACTCACAGGCAGTAAGGGGAAGGAAGAGGGAAGGCTGGAATGAGGAAACAAAAAACAAGGCAATTCTATGCATAAGTCAATCACCACATCAACCTCAATGGACTGGAAGTACAAATCTATCCACATGGCACTGTATGAGGTCAGCAGAACTAAAGACCTCTTTGTGAAGAAACATTCAGATTTTCAGGAGGCGATCGAAGGTCCTTTGGTCAATGCACTTTTTCCAGTGCTCATATTCATCCTCTTCTTCACATACAGGGAAACTGTGTCCAAATACAGTTATAGTAATAGAAACAAAGAGGCAGTTGCACTGTGAGACATACTGACAAATAAATACATTGCTCAACGGAAGTAAATTGTGTTCATTTCTGAGAAATAAAAGTGAGCACATTGAAGTTTCCTTCTCAGTCTGGTTATTCAAGTCTGATCTCATATCTGACATCTTCATTAAAAACCTTGTTTCCATTGTAGTGTTTGTGAGGCTGTTCCAAATGCAAGCACTGAAATATCAACATCAATAATTTATCAAACCTCTGAGATCATTGAATTGCTTCTCCTTTGAGGCTTTAGAAGCAGGCTCACACCCATCTGCTTTTGCTGACAAGACTTTTTTTAAACCATAACTTAAATCTTTAGCCAAGAAGTCACTGCAGGTCCACAGAGAAGGTGTTAAATCCAACTAAGCAGAAAGTATTCTCATTCCAAGTCTTAAATTACACTATCCATGTGTACCATCAATGGGGGTACACTTCGAAATGTCTAGGGGTAAAACAGTCTAAAACACCAGTATTTTAAAAATGATACTCAATAAGCTCAGAAAATTTTATCCACAGTGGAAAATCATTTTAAAAATAACTCCATGAATTTTAAGATCCTCAAATAGGTTGAACTTCTCTTTTGAATTCAGTTCGAAATAACTGAAACACCAATAAAAGCTGGTGTTAATATGGCTAAAGCCATTAAGAACAAACTGTGAAAAGACAACACTTGAATACTTGATTTCTTTTTGAAGTACTGTTTGTATGCAAAACAGAACTTAATCCATTTGTCTTCAGGTGACTTGGCAAGATTTTCAGACCCTTGGAATCCTAATCTACAATGCTGCCTCTTGTCAGCAGCTAATTTCAGTGCATGAACTCCACAGACATCTTTGACACTGGGATGCTTTTCACCAAACTGCTCAAATTCCTTCCCAGCACTGGGAGATTTCTGTGTCAAAAACTGGCAAAGGGAAATATACTCCCTACCTGCAGTTTTTAATGCAATGCTTTATGAATACAAAGTTACAAATAGGAAGCATCCTTCTCCAACTTTACATACATCAGATTATTACACATAACCTTAACAGAGTAAGTGGGTTGATGAAGTGTTGTAAAGTTTCAAGCACCAGAATTTAAAGCAAAGGTTGCTGGACACTGCTTCTCCGCTTGCAAAGTAGCAGTACAGTCAGCACATTTTTGGCTGTTCTTAATGGATTAGATTCAACAAATCAGTAACACAGACCATAAATTTAAGGCTTTATAGAAGAAATGCCTCTTGCTTTCCCCTCACTGATCTACTGCTATTGTCTTCTCGTATATCAAAGTTTTTAAAAAGCAAAACAGTATACTTCTAGCCACTTTGCTTTCAGGTTTTAAGATGAGTTAAGAGCAGACTGTTCTCTACTACTGTAAGGAAATCAGCCATCCTTTGACAAGCTTCCTTTTCCTGTTGTGTCTCAATCACTGGCCAGAAAAAGAACCATAAAAGCTGAAATACACATGAGAAGTACAGCACTGTCCGAAGTGCTTCACAGATTGCAAGCTAGAAGAATGTCTGGACAACCAATACAGACACAAAGATTCTTCCTGTTGATCAGCTTATGCCAGTGAAATGTTTGTTAATACATGCATAATAGAAAAAAAAAAAAAAAAAAAAAAGGACACAAAAGATACTTAAAAAGTTTGGCTTCCTAAGAAGGCCATATAGTTTAGAAATACAAGTATTAAATCCTTCAGGCAGACTGGATATAGTAAAATATCATTATAAAAATATATACTTTTCTAAAATTTACACTATGTTAGGCACTGTAAATAAACCTGTTCTCCCTGAAAAATCAGGTGTCACTGGAAGCAGTAAACAATGTTAGTTATATGGCCCACAGTAAAACTGACAGCTAAAGCTACTTCCAACAACTTTTCAGCCACATACTTTTACCTTAAAGCTAAGGATACTATGTCAAAGTCTTCAAGAAGATTGGAACTCTTTCTGAACTACAGATCCATCTACTAAGCCCTCAACAACGGAGGACTGGAAGAAGAGAGTTCAGTTTTCTCTTGATTAAAATAAAGCCCTTGATATCAGGAGTAGTTCACTTTCACTTAGAAAATTACTGTGAAGAAATTATTGTGGTTCACTGTATTTTGATTCACACTTGAACCATGAACCAGCAGAAGTCACGATTGAATAGTTTTACAAAAAAAATTGAAAAATTCAACAGACCTAATCTTCCACTAAATCCATGCTTTCTCATTTATAAACATATTTCAGTAAAGATTAATGCTGAATTTTGAAGTCTTTCATCAGTCCCAATAACAGCAGTCAGGACTTGTGAAGATCAATACAGCTGTTGTAAGAGAAACTGGGGCAATAGCAAAAAGCACCAACAGCTAGCATAGCATGTTTGCTACCTACTGAAGCAAGGTACAGTTTGAAGTTTATGCAGACACAACTTTTTAAAGATATTACTGATCAATGAAAGGACAAGCATTTTTAAAGAGGTTTTTTTCTTCTATAAATACAGAACATTTACATTTTTCTCAGACAGGAAACAGCATCAGGGTTTCACACCCCTCTTGCCTGAAATGGAGATTTCTAACATATAATGCTACAGAGCTAGTCAGATTTTCCTCCTCTTGAGAACTCACATGGATTTTCAAAACAGCATGGGTTCTGACAAAACTGAAAATCAATTAAAGAACTAGACAGTTTGTGGCTTCCCCCCCCATTTTCCAATACCACAATGATTATGGTTGTTGGATATCTTGCCAAGAAATGACTCCATGAGTCTACTGTAGAGATTAATATCATTTCAAGCTTCTGAAGAAATCAGCACATGCCTTCTGAAAAGATTACATTTTAAGACTGATGACAGGAGTGAAGACAAAACAAACTTCATAG